TTTAAGACTTTCTCACCTACTGTCTGCCTATAGATGGTTGAGCATCCAGAGGTTGTTTTATGTCTCGAGCAGGGATGGTCTCTTTTAAATCCAGACTGATATTTCTCTTGACTGCTAAGTTCTCTCAACTCTTTATTTACTTTCAATTAGCTACAGATACCAATAACTGCCTCTGCCATTCTTTTCTAGATATACTTCTTGTACTGTCTTCATTTCTTTATTTTCTTGTTTCTGTGTCTTTCTCTTAATATCAAGTATCTTAAGCTTGTCAGGCATCAGTAGGAGAATTATACCTTTTGTCTCTTTTTCTTGAGCTATTTTTTTCTAAATGAAAACACTTAACTGGCTGCCATGATCTTTGTTGGATCATTATCCTGACATACATTAATCCACTCAGAGGTATAAATAGTAGGTGATAGTCATAACTTTAATTTGATACTCATTGCATGCTGAATTTTACTTGGCTTTTGTTTTGCAAAAACCTTTCATTTTTTATACCTCTTTTTTGAGGTTAAAAAATCAGCTTAGCTTTTCCAACTTTGCAGAGTACCAAATTTCTGGAATCCCTCTATTCCCTTTCATTTCTGCTTGCAAATTGCTTGATATATTTAGACACTCGTACTTTTTGTATACTTTGCCTAATGTAGCCAACAATGCTTAGCATACACTATTAACATATTTTTCAATTGGTTCTCTAGTGCTATAGGTACATTAGGTGTATTATCTCCCTTTCAAATTATCACAGGTGTCAGTTTTGCCAAATATTTACCAATTCACAGCAAGGATTGTGACCAACCTCCCCCTTCCCCTTGTTTCCCAGAATAGCTTCCTTGCCTGACCCCTAAGCCAATACCAAAATTTTAGGTTTCTATTTCAGGAGCATCCTTCTTTTGATACTAATTTCTTTGCCAACCATCTAGGTTAACTTATGCTGCAGTAATTTAAAAACTTGAGTTCTTTTTTGTGTGTGTGATACCGGGTATTGAACTCGGGACCTTGCGCCTGCGAGGCAGGCGGCAGAACCACTAAGCGAAATCCCTGGCCCTCTAATTCTTGATTGTTTATAATACAACAGCTATAGTTCTTGCTGTTGCTCTACTCCCACATGGATTGACTTGGGTCTCTGATCACTGCTGATACCCTCAGGGACCAGGATGAAGGAGTCTCTGTCTCAAAGTCATCCATGATTTTCCAAGACAAGAGAAAGGATATGGCAGTCCTTAAAGGTCAGTTTACATAGGAAGGACATAGCTCATTTCTGCTCATATTTCATTGGCCAAAACAAGTTACATGGCCATGCCTAACTCTAGAGGGAGAGCTGAGGAAGTGTAATTCTGTTGTGTGCCTGGAAAGAGGTGAACCAGAATATTTATGAGCAGCCCTAATACTTCCCCCTATGGCAACAATCTGGCCCAAGGAAATGATTGCTGGCAGTTGTGGAGCTATTCAGAACCATGCCACACTGCCTGTCTGTGTGTGAGACCAGCCTTGCCCCACACTGTTGCGGGCAGTAAACACCACACCTTTCTCCATGTGGCTTTCATTACAGCTTCATTGCATTAGGAAACCAGTGGGGGTGTTCTGTAGTATTACAAAATACCAGGATTGAGACCCACCAAGTTGCTTACAAACTCAGTAATGCCCTTCTCCAATAATCATCAAGGAAAAATAAACCCACAGAATGATCTGATTTTCCTTTCTTTCCCTGAGACTTTGGACAAGAAACATCACTTGAAATTTTGTGATAATAATGGGAGAAAAAACAATGTTAAAGAATAAAGTCAATAAAGACTTTTGGTTGCATTAACAATGATAATATTGTTAGTGTTACCTTCTATTTCTGGAAAAATTGTTCATGTTAAATTGAACCAAGAGAACAGGCAGCAGAGGTTACACTGGAAGTTAGGTGAGTGCTTTTCTCTTTAGACTCAGAATAACCCAAAAGGACACTGAAGTTTTAGGTAAGTTAGCTGTTAAACACATTTCCCTGCTTTTGTACAGTAGAGATATTCATAGGAGCTATTAAAAGAAGTGTGTGCTTCTCTAGCTGAAGAACACAAAAGAGGTACCTAGATTTTTGAGTTGGTAATCATATTTCAGTTAGTGGGATATAGTTCTTAGGAGGAAAAGGCAACAGAAGATGCTTTCGTGTTTGACTTTGTGGACAATTTTGTGTTCAAATGGCAGTTCCATAATAAGCCTGGCTTTGTAACCTTGGGGAAATCCTCACTGTAATATGGTAGAAATAATACCCTCTTACAGCATCAGAATGAAGAATAAATGAGATAGTGAAGTGAAAATGCTCAGCTCGGTAGCCAGCACACAGTAGGTGCTCTGTAAATGCTGTTTCCTTACCCTCCCCCATTCCTCAAGAAAAGGTGGTTAAGAGAGGAAGTGGAGAGTCTCACCAGGGATGGATCCCAGGGTCTAGAAAATGAGAACTTATCTCAGTAAAAATACACCAAGGATACTGCCAGAGAATTTCCAAAATGTCCTTGCAGTCAAATGACTCCCTCTCAGATTTTTAAGGTTCCTCTTTTCCGCTATTCTCATTTGCTCTTTTGTTTTCTGATGATCCTTTTTGTTTTTAATGCATCTTTCCAGTTTCTGGATTTTATCCTCCCCCCCCTCCCCCGTTATCCTTTTCTTCTTCATGTTGTTCCACTATGCTGTCAATCCATATCCACATTTCTCTGTCCCTCTCCATTTCATCTTTCATCCTCTGGTGACCTGGAGGTGAGTCTGGAGGTGAGTTTGTGAGACTGTCCTGGCGATGCTTTGTTGTCCCTATGTCTATTCTTTCTGTAGCTCTTCCTGGTGAGCTCCCTGACCCTAAGTTGGAGTCCTTCCCCTGTGCTATCACCATCTATTTTCCCTACTAAAATCTGTTATTAAAAATGTATCTGATCATCCCAAGAGATAAGTATAAATGAATGAGTTTGGAGCTTTACTTTTCCCAAGAGTACAAGTACAAAGCCTTTAGCTCAAGAATACATCTCTAGATGGGTGTGGTGGCTCACACCTGTAATCCCAGTACTCAAAAGGCTGAGGCAAGAGGATTGTCACGAGTTTGAGGCCAGCCTGGGCTACATAGTGAATTTGAGGCCAAACTGAACTATACAGCGAGATCTTGTCTCAA